TGGACCAGATGATCTCTTGAGGTCCCTTCCAGCCCCTAATGTCTATGAAATGTAGTGCAATGTTACTCAGGAGGCTCCATAGAGGCTTATAATCTATTGAGCTAGGAACTGCAGAAACACGTACAAAAGCATGATTATGGCTCTGAGGGGCTAGCTCTCTGTCTGTCTAATATTTCTATTTGCTTATTAATATTGTTATATTTAGCCCTAAACAAAAGTTTATTTAAGTTGGAATTGAAATTGAATTAGAACATTAATGAATGTTGGAGCCATTAGCTTTAGCAACCAGACAAGCTTACTACTTTTGGTCTGGCAACCTCTGCATGTCCCTCCTTTTGTTTGTTACACTCAATTAATTTATTATTTTAAATTAGAGTGTGAGCCCTCTGCCTGTGCTCACTAGACCCACAGGGAGGGTGGAAAGGGAGGGTGAAGAGAAAAAAAGAGATGGTTTCTGATTCGAGTCTTTTCATGGTCCTGAAATAATAGTGAAATCTTTAGCACCTACTGCACCAAATGGTTCCCAACAAAAATGTGTACTGAGATGAAGGTTCAAGTTAATATTTAATGAAATGCAAACAGTTTGTTGTATCATGAAAATACAGAATAAAATTACTTTAATATTAAGTTACTCTTAAGCAATGTGCCATATACACTTAATTTTGTAGGACGTATACACTGCAAACCTGCCTCACGGAAGCCAACCCAAGTCTTGCTTTAATGACAGTTGCAGCTGGGCCCAGTCTGGAATGACTGTGCTAATTTGGATACCTAGGGAAGCTCAAATACAAGTCACTGCTATATGTGAAAGAACAGTTTGTAAATAGGAATGGAATACCCTGGAATGAAGACCTATCATGGTTTTGCTCAAGTTTTGCAGCTTTGAGATTTAGAGGCAAAAAGCTCTACGTGTTTGCTGTTGTGTTTGTTGTTATTTTCATTGTCTTGCTGTAGAATATCCTGGACCTCTGTGGTATTTGTAGCAGAATGAGTGTTTTACTAAAGTAAATTACTTGAACTTATGACCTGGTCAAAAACGATGTCAGATGAATCCTGATAAATGTTTTGGTTAGGAGTTGTTGGCTAGATACTATGTTATTCTCAAAAGACCAAGGAGTTAAACTTATAGGGCACTTACACATATGCGGGGAGTCTGCTACGACATGCTGGAAATCCAGCCTGTTGGAGCAGACTTGTTTAACTGAGTCTGCTCAAACACATAAATTGACATGTGCCGGCAGCATCACATCACGTACATCAGCGGTGCAGCACGTGTCAGCCCTGAGAAAATGGTGGTGGCTTGCGTTGAACAAAAACACATCTTATGTGCTTTAGTTCAAAGTGCACCAGTGCCATTTTCTCAGTGCTGACATGTGCTGTGCTGCTGATATATCTGGTCCCAATGCAGCGCTG